ATACATACATACATACATACATACATACATACATACATACATACATACATACATACATACATACATACATACATACATACATATGTACATGCATGCATACATACGAGAGAGGGAGAGTGGGGAGAGAGAGGCTTGGGGGGATGGGGAGGATGGGAGCAGAGGGAGGGAGAGAGGACGACAGAACACACAAGGGAGACAAGGAAGAGAGGAAGAAGGAGAAAAGGGAGAGGACAATGTCGGCGGACTGAGCCGGAGGCTCTAAAGTTTAAATTCCTGGATGGTCATGGCTCCAAAAAAGCAGCACTCTTTAAAATGGTTAATTGAATTCCTTTGGGATGCATGACCTTCCCAACCTCCAGAGTTTTTCGCTAACTGGAAATTAAGTCAGAGCGCCCAAGGCGGATCAGCTGACCGTAGTGGACATAGTGATCTCTGCCGAAGCGATCGTTGTCATCCACCCTGCAAACGGTGAAGTTGGTCCTGTCAACGTGGGAAGTGCGAAACTCGGTTGCTTTCTGCTCCCCTGCTGAAAGCTTGTAGCGGTTTAACGGAAAACCCACTACTTGGCAAAAAGTTAAAGTCCAAACATCCACCAAAGGAAAGCTGAAGCTGGAGCGTGCCATGGCCTGGGGCAGGAGGTTATGACACTGCCCGTGGATAATCCGTAGCCAGCCTGAGAATGATTCAATGTCTAGCAGACCGTGCAGTCATGCCTGGTGGACTCGCCTCTGTGGCAGCCTTGGCATCAGACACGACATGAATCATATGCCTCATTGAGCGCATTGAGCGCATGTTCGACATCGAACTCTGGATTCCCCCGATCTCCAAATCACTCGCCCAAAAATCAGCCACGATATCGCCCCCCAGCTTCCATTCGGGGTAGCTTGCAGCTAGACGCCATCATAGCTGTCCGCACTGCGACCACGGTGCGGTTTGCCCAACATCGACTTGCAGGAGGCCGCGTGTGCAAGCCTAAGGAACAAACATCAAACCCTTGGCTCAGTTGTTCCGTGACCCTGGAAAAAAAAGGGAACCCTTTCTTGGGAAGACAATTTTTAGTGAGGCAACCACCAATAAAAAGGGTGAAAAAGGGTGCCACTGAACAACTGAGTCAGCCTCAGACATGAGGGCCCGAGCATTCCGCAGCATCAGCATGTCGCCAAAGTGCAGGAAGCCATCGTCTGCACTGGTAGTTGGCACCGACCTCGCCAAAATAGCGTTTAAAACGGAATAAGCTGGCCAGGGTGTCCATTCTGAGCATCTTGCACGAGTGTATGCTGCAGAGTGTGCGCAGCCCCTTGTAGAACCACTGTGTGCTGCTTCTGACCTGACAAAACAAAAAATCCCCCCTGTACTCCCAGAATGCGGCTAGCACACCCCAGTGAACGTTGCTGAGTTGTGGACAAAGGTACTCCTGCAAATTCTTCTCCTCCACCTGCAAAGTGCACACCGGAACGATCCAAGCTTTAACGTAGCAACAGGCAGGCAGCCTTTACACTCTCTGTCCAATCAGAGGTCACCTCCATGGCTACCCAAGCGACAATGGAGCAATGTTTCAGTTCTTCTTTGTGTTGCCTTGAGTCCTTGGAAAAAGTCCTTGGAGCACACTTCCACAAGAATCTGATCTGCGCAGGTGAAAAAAAAGAGCGCCCTTGCATCAAATTTGAGACTGTTTCGAATGCCGGATGTGCGGAAGCCGAGCCCCGCTTGCCGCTGCCCTAGTTGCCTTTCCACAGGGCCTTGAGCCAGCTTAGCGCTTGATGACATCAACTCAGCGCAGAGTTTGGTTAGGTGGCGTTGTTGGAGCACAGCCCAGCGAAGCAAGCCTTCTGTTTTCATGGGAGGGAGGGGGAGCCCAAATACGCCCTTATTCAGCCCGGGCTTATTTGGGGCTTACTGGGGCTCCCCCCACCTCCCCCGCAGACCCCATGATGTGTTTTTTTCCGCCGAAAGCTTCAGCTGACCGCATTCTCCCACGTGGCCAGAAGCTCTCTGGATGATACGACCTCGCTGGCCTTCACATCCTGGCCGTGCCTGCCCAAATGTGCGATCCGCTGGAAAGCCACCTTCTCCAAGCCCTGCAGAAAATTCGATGTGGCAAGCATTCGCTTGTGCCACTGGTTCCACTCATCGTAGGCGTTCATCATGTCCGGCTCGGTCAGCCACAAGAACCGCTCGTTCGGCGGACCAGAGGAAAGACTCAGCATTGTCACCAGGTCTCCGGGCAAATGCTCGCGCGCCATGACTTTGAACCCAGTTGCCCGCAGGAAGAGCCAAACCCCCGGCTGCCGCCCCAAGCTCTGCTGGAACTCCTCGTTTCGAATTCGGATGAGTCTCAGGCGGACATCTGCAGGCTCCGCGGCAATTGACGAGATCATGGACTGCAGGCCTTCGACGATGTCTCGATACGAACCTACAGACGCTGCGAGCATTGATGAAAGGGCCTCAGCACATGCAGCGTTGGCACCCAATTGTGCGATCTTTAGATCGCACTCCTTTTCCATGCGCAGCACAGCATCCTCTGACGCCAAGCGATCAGCTTCAGCCTGCTGTTCCGCTCGGAGGTCTTCTTCACGCTTCAGCCGAGCTGCTTCCTCTGCTGCTTGCTGAGCCTCCATCCTCTTCCTGTTCCTTCCATTTGGTTAAGACCCCCGGGAAAAGTAAAAATATGTCCAGTAGTGATACGTTTCTTTAAAAAACCAACACAGGAAAACAAAAAAACGGTTCTTAAGCAAATAGAAGGTTCTCTTCCATCAGCGCATCCAAGGGCTTTCTGGCCGCCTCGGCCGCCTCTCTCTCAGCCGCTTCCCTCGCCGCGGCTTCTTGCTGCTGGCGCTCCGCTTCCGACAGCGCCCGCTTGGCATCCAGCTGCTGCGCCAACGGCGCTATGACTGGCGCAACCTCTGCGTCGATGATCTTCTTGGCGGCATCAAGCTTGGAGAGCAGCAGAGTCACCTTCTCCGCCATCTTAGCTCCATACGTTGCAACGGGCTCAAGCGTCTGCGCCTTGACAAGCAGCGAGCTTACAGCTTCAAAGCCTTCAGCCTTGTTGTCTACCATCTCTTGCGCTACTCTGAGACACTCCTCTGGTGCGCCAGGTATCAAAGAACGGAGTTCTTCCTTGATGTTCTCAAGCTCGGCTCGCGCATTGCATCGCCGCTGCATCTTTTCTGCCACCGGGGAAAGCTCGAGCAAATGATCCTGCACTTGTATCCATTGCGAGTGTACCTCGCTTGACATCTCTCCCGATCCCAAGGCTGCCGATTTCAGCTCCAAAGCAAGCTTTTCAACAGTCTCCACCGTAGCTGAAGCTTTCCGGAAATCCGTCATGTTCGGCTGCGCTGGCAATTTCCCGGACCTTGTGAGTCCGGGGTTGTGCTTGAGGACTTTCGCATATGCAAGTAGAGCAGCCTGTACTTGCTCTCAACTCTGTGTGTGTGTGCGCGTCAAGTTCACGTATGTGCTTTAATAACTACAACCACAACGTCATGTTGCAAAAGACTGCCAGGTGCTTAAGGTCTGTTCTGTGCCCAAGCCGACCGCTTGAGAAGGCAAGCTGCATCGTGCTGCCGTTTGCAATGTGCCAAAAGAACAGCCGACTTTGTTCCAGCAACTCCTCGGTTTTTTGGTTTTCTCTCCGAACAGCACTCATCTTTGGTGCTGAAGACGGACGCGGTCGGGGGCGAGAGGGCAGGTCGTCTGTCCTGCCATCCAGCCCCTCACTTAAGTCCACAAATGCCTAGCCCACCGTTTGTCCAGTAATTACGTCTCAAGCCGCTCATTCCATGCAACTGTCATAGAAAGTCCGAGACCGCACGTGCTCTTCCGGATTCCAGGAAAGTTGTTGTTTGAGAAACATCTAATATGGGTATGGGTCAAAACCAATGGTACCATTTTGGGGTAGGTGAATTCACCACCCATGCTAGTCTATTTTAGTGGGGATTGGGATGTTCACTGAGGGGGGAAACGTGGTTTTGACCCATGACCATATTTCGTCCTGTCTACAGCAGCTGCTGCTTTGCATTCCGGCGCCTCGCTCGGCCTCCAAGGTTGCAAACAAGCCATGGCTCATGGTCAAAGTCCAAATCGTACCCCCAGTGAACATCCCAATCCCCACTAAAATAGGTCCTAAAATGGGTGGCGAATTCACCTACCCCAACATGGTAGCATTATGTAATTTTGACCAGCCATTTGCTTGAGCCGCCTTCCATGGCGTGCCGCCCTCAAGCCAGGAATAGGAGTCCTGCCTGACACGCGTTTGCTTGTCACTCTGCTTCACTTGCAAGGTCTTTCCTGGCAATCATGATGTAGCAAGAGCATCCATCAACAAGAAGGCTGGGGTGCATCCAGCACCAAGCAACGCCTGCTTTTGCCGCTTTCTTCTTACGCTTCTTCTGCCTACGTTCAGCAGAATTCCCTGCCATAATCAACACAGAACGTCGCTTCACGGAAAGCTGGGCCGCTGGGCCTCTGCTCCTGCGGCACCTGCAAAGTGCAACATGACTGCGAAGACGCTGTTGCCGCAGCCCAGCCTCTGCACCGAGCCCCTCCAAAATGGCCTCCTCATCGAAGACTTGGCCTTGTATGCGTCATGTGGCTGTGGGTGAAAACCCTGTACCCCTGGTGAACATCAAAATAGGTGATACATGGGTGTTCATCCGCCCCAAACCAGAGCCATGGGTATGACCCATGGTCATGTCGCCGACAAAATGCGCAAGGCACACATGTGGCCGCGGCTATCGTCCACGATCTTCAAGTCCTTCCCAGTCAGGAAGTCTTGAAACTGCTCCTGGAAACCACGAGGAGTGCAGCTGTGCAGCTCACAAGCTAAAAACCAAGCACTCACGTCGATGCTCCTTGAGACTGGGAAGTCCAAGACTGGCAGGGTCCATCGCTGCAAACAAAGCGCTTCGATGAAATGCCTGTGCAACCAACAGAGCTCATGTTTGCCCAACATCAATTACCACGAGGAAAAGGCAGTCGTGTAGCAACCCCCTGTTCTCGGAGAATTTGTGTGGGACCAACTCGTTGTCCAGGCACCGGGTACTCTTAGATGGCTACGCCAAACAGAATTTGACGGCTAGTTCCAAGTGCTAGAAGCGAGCTCTGCTAAAGCCCAACTCCTGTGCTGGCACCCCACATCGCTTTTTGTGTCATTCCAACTCACTGCAGCGCAGGCACAAAAGCACCAACCTTTCTGTCACAGCAGTCGCGCTGAACTTTGCTCGAGATCGCGCGAAGGCTTCTCCGAACCCTGTAGCATGCGACAGAGTCTTGCGGCGGAAGATCCTCATCTCTTTACTTCCCTCAGATCCCCTGCGAAAAGTCACTCACTTTTAGTGGCTTAAATCCGGAAACCACCACTAAACCAACTTTTAAAACAAAGGAGCCGGGAGCGGCTTTGGAAGCCAAGTTCTCGGCTCTGAAAGGACTATGGCGGCTTCCGCCTCGGAAGTGACGGAAGGACCTGCGCAAGAGACTGAACCTCAAGCCAAAGAAGCCCGGTGAGCCATTTTCGCGCGCAACGCGGGCCTTCTCTACAGCCTCCAGAAAATATCTCTGGAACTTCGGCCTCACCAGCTTGAACTTGGCAATGAAAGGACTGATGAAAAGTGTCCATTTGGAAACAGAAGCAAACCCGAGAAGGGATCGTCCATGAGAGTCAGCGCGGGGCATGTCCACCAGCACATTCTGGTTGTGCCAGTAGCCCCCAAGCCTCAAGCCACAGGAAAATCCACGCGGCGCTCACTCTGATCGGCCTATCTCTGATCACGAGAGATTAACTCCGCACCTTCAGGTGGGTATGGGTCAAAATCAAACCACCAGAAGAAGAAAACAAGGGGGAAAAAAAAAACGAGTTTAGCCATGTTTTGCCATTTAGCAGGGCAAGCCATGTTGGGTACCTTTGTTTTCTGACCTACACCCAGGTAGCCAGGTAGCTGTTACATCAAAAGGCTCTGGGTCAAAAATATGTGCCCGACATGGAACCCTGGTAAATGGAAACATGGACCAAAACCCTGCGGTCCAATTCCTGGTTTCATTTTGACCCTTACATTAAAAGAATCACTAGTCACCCCCAGACTAACATGGAAGCTCCCAGGACCCTTTGGGAAGACTTGGTTCCATTTGCATCGGCCTTCTGGGGGCTATGTGAAACCGAGTGTAGTCACTCGTATCTTGCGGGCTGATGGGAGAGTTGCGGTTCACAGTCCTGGACAACAGGCGGGCAGCGATTTTTGTCGCTGCGGAACTTTGCCTCCTTCGATAGACGCGGCTGGATAGTGTCCCTTGTCGCATTCCCCGCAGTTTAGCATACATATACATGCGGCTGTGGGTCAAAAATGGGTACCCAAAATGGCTTGCCCTGGTAACTAAGACTAAAACCTGCGGTCACCTGGTGGTTTAATTTTGACCCATACCCATATTAATATATAAATATCATACATATCATGCGCAAAAGCCTCATTTGCCCCCACCTGGTGGTCAGGATGAACAGCTGTTGCAGGCTTGCGACATCCAAAGGAAGCCACCCCAAAGTTATATTCATGGAATGGATGTTTCTTTTAAATTATAATCGAGGATTCTACCAGTTAATATTGATCATATGTGGAAAGGACCCCCGTTTATATTCTCGTTCAAAAATGGGTTATCCAGTGTTTGGAATTCTGATTAAAGTTGTGTTTACTTATAAGGAACTTTGAAATCAAGTTTATAAGGAGCTTCAAAAGGAGCTTTAGAAGGAGCCTTGTAAGCAGCTTTTCAAGGAGCCTTGTAAGCAGCTTTATGTTTACAAGGAACTGTACAAGGAGCCTTTTGAAGAGTTATATTCGGAGCCTTAAAAAGAGCGTTGCAAGGAGTCGGAACTCTTACTGAACTTTGTAGGGTGTTTCTTTAACATATTTTTGCGGAGCTTTAAAAGAAGTCTTATAAGCAGCTTTTACAAGTGAGCTTTACAGAGAAGCTTTGCAAGCGGCGTTAGGAATTATACAAGGAGCCTTATATGGAGCCTTTTCACTGAGGAGCAGTTTCATTCTGGAGTCTTAAAGCGAGCTGCATCAGGAGCTCCACAAGAAAGCTTACGAGCAGCTTTACAAGGAACCGACAAAAGGAGCCGAAAATAAGGAGCCGACATAAGGAGCTTGACAATGACCGTTCTAAGGAGCTGTTTAAGGAGCCTTTAAGGAGCTCTGCAAGTCAAGACTTGATTGCCAGATGTTGAATTCTAACCCAACATCGAACATCTAATTCGATTCTGCCTCGATGAATTGCATTACTTCTTTTTTATGCGGTAATTATACGTGTTTAATCGACCTCATCAAGTTTTGATGTGTTTTGGTGATGCACTTCAAACAGCAAAAACAAAATGAGGGAGAAACAAAGAACACTCGAGAAAACAAAAAAACTAAAACTCAGAGGAGAAGGCTTGGTTGTGCCAAGAGTTTGTTGGCTTTCTTGAGGGTTTTCTTGATTTTATGAGTTGTCCCTCAGTGCGTATTGGTTTTGACAGTGTCCCTCCAAAAAAAACTCCAGGGTGTTTTTGTCATGTGCTACTTCTGGCACTCAGAAAAAAAAGGAAAAACAAGTGAGGAAACAAAAGAAATCCAGTTTGATGTCGTCTTTGTTTTTCCAGCAGAACACCAACAAAAGGACCGGGATTTTCAGGCTGTTCTGAATGACACTCGCCGCCAACACAAACTCGCGGTGTTTTGTTGCGTTGGAGGGACGACAAAACTGAGGGGCAACCAACCAAAAAAGACCTTGAGAGGCCAACAAACACAACTTTGGCAAAATGGGAACTTCTCTGAGTGGTGCTTTCTTTGTTGCTGGGTGTGTGTTTCCAAATTTTGCAGTTGTGTAGCCAGTACAAAAGAGCATGCTCGCAAGAGTTATAACTGCCAAACAAGCAGTGTTTTTTCAAGCTTCAAACCAGCAACAAACTTAAACACAGAGTGTGTCTCTCTGTGTGTGTGTGTGTGCATTTGTTCCTGAATTTCCATGTACTTCGGTTGGCCTGATTCGGGCCAACAATCAAACACAATGTGAAAGTAAAAGTTCGCATTTGTTCAAGGGTAAAGTGGAGGTAGATCATGGCGGGGTGTGATCACATCACGTAGACGCCTTTACGAATCTACAGAGAGAGAGAGAGAGAGAGAGAGAGAGAAAAATATTAAGAGAGAGAGGGAGAGAGAGAGAGAGAGACAGAGGGAGAGAGTTTGAATCAGGACGGCAGTGGGCAGTGCTCAGCCCCAGACTTTTCCTTCACCTCCTTGTCTGCCAGGTACAAATGCTCCTGGTGGCTGGTCGGAGTTTCGGACCTTGGGAGCTTGCCTATGGCGCTTGCTGCGATGTCCAAATCGTGTCGAGCGGTTGAGCGCCGGACCCCTGCAGGGCTGCTGGATGCTCCATGCACGTATATTGCATGCCGGAGAGCCGGGCAAAACCGCCATAGTGGCCTCCAGCGTGCGCCAGCGCCGAATTGTCCAGATGGCTGTGGGTCAAAAATAGGTCCCCAAAATGGCTTGCCCTGGTCAATGGAAACATGGACTAAAACCTGTGGTCCAATTCCTGGTGGTTGAATTTTGACCCATACCCAAATTGTCCAGATCAGACTGCTTGAGACTCCGGCTGATGGTGTTGCCCCCCCAGCCTGCGCACGTGGTTCGCATGGGCACATGCCGCATTCAGTGGATCCAGCCGGCCTTCCGTGCAGAACTTCGAGCCCGGCGGGAAGAGATCCAATCTGGGTTCAGATGGGACTCATGGGTTCCACTTTTTGACTACCTCAAGATGGGTCCACTTAAACCCAGGGGTTCTCCTTGAAAGGCAATGAACCACCGGGTTTAAGTCTACCCTGAAGTAGTCAAAAAGTGGAGCCCTGGATGGGACAATCGAGTCATAATCAAAACCCGGGACCCAGAACCACGATTCAAGAGTTAAGAAGGCAGATATCCGCAACTATTTGTGGTTGGGATTGTCCCTTACCTTCATCTGCCCGAATTGGTTTTGAGCAAGTGTCTCAAGTGGCCATGGGTCAAAATCCAAATCGTACCCCCCAGTGAACATCCCAATTTCCCCACTAAAATAGGTTCTAAAATGGGTGGTGAATTCACCTACCAACCAAAATGGGATCCCATTGGTTTTGACCCACAGCCAAGTGAATCTGGGCCTAGTGAATCTGGCTGTGAGTCAAAACCAATGGTGTGGTAGGTGAATTCACCACCCGTTTTAAAACCTATTTTAGTGCAGGGGGGTCTTTTTGCCACCTTTTGCGACAAAATTGGCGACCCCCTTAAAAAGGAATCCTTCACTACGTGGGGGTCGAACAATTTGCCACAGAAGGTGGCAAAAAGACCCCCCTGTTTTAGTGGTTGGATTGGGATGTTCACTGGGGGTACGATTTGGATTTTGAAAAGCCCACGGCCATGTCTCCGGCCCCAAGGCGCCCACATCACGGCATCTCGATGCATGAAGGTCCCCCAAGCCATGGCTGCCCCAGAGACGCCGACCAGGATGTCGGCCTGGCGGTCGGTCCCGTCCATGCAACTTTATGTTGACCCCAGATTCAAAAAAAAAAAAAAACGTCTATTGAGATTTGGGGGTGTTTTTCTGGGTTTAGTGGGGAGTCGGACCACTTTTGGAGGGGCCCCCACCCCCATATTAACACATCTGGGGTCAACAGCCTCATGCCCTCATGTGGGGCACCGCAATTTGCGCTGAGAGAAACGTAACAAAAGCATATGGAAGGCCCATGCCTTTCGGAATGCGGGCACTTTTCTTTACCCACACAACTTTACCAGGTCAGTGAGGCCCCTCTGACCAAACATCGCGAGGCCAAGTTGGAATTTTTCAGCAGTGGGAATTTACCGAGCTTAAGATGCCTGCGCCCTACGCAGCCTGTCTTGCCAAGTGCCACTGCACAGCCGGGTGGAGGCGCTCGAAGTGAGCCACCAGTGCTATGAGCTTCAGGTTGAGGTGGGGATGCTGCCATCCTGCCAGGTGAGCAATTGGCCCCCCAGCTTTGGGTTCAAGACCTCACGTTACTCCATGCGCCAATGGAACGAGCAAGAAAATGAATAACATATTCGAAGCAATCCCAACCAAATGCCGGTGGGATCTCGAAACGGACGGAAAAGAAAGAGGAGCAAACTTGATCTTCGCAGCTTGGCCGATCATGTACTGGCCTTCAAGCCAGCTGCTGATCTCGTCCATGTTCGAAATCCATCGGCCGGCACCTACGCACCACGCAAGCAGTCAGGCCCCTTTGGCCGAGCCAAGGCCATTCTGGCCAAGCCGAGGCACGTCTTGGCCTTTGCACCTCGGGATATGGTCAAAATCCTGTACCCCCAGTGAACATCCCAATCCCCACTGAAAATGGTTCTAAAATGGGTGGCGCGCCTACCCCAAAATGGTACCATTGGTTTTGACCCACGGCCATACGGCGCCATGTTACAAGCGAAACAACCGCATGGTACAGAGGCATTAAGCTTGGGGCCCAAAGTATGTGGATGCGCTGAGCAGCCTGCAAAGCACGTCCCAGATCCATAAAGAAATCCGCGACAATCCAACTCGGCCGAAATCGAATTCGGCACCGATTCGTGCAGCGACCTGAGAGCGGAGATTCCCCTTACGCTTTTTCTTGGAACTTAGGGTCAACCCGTCCAACCGAGGCTGCGAACAAGCTTTATTGAGCATGGCTGTTCACTCTATTCGGATTCGACTACTACTTTTGCCAGGCTTTTGCCAGGCTCTTGCCAAGCTTTTGCCAAGCTTTTGCCAGGCTTATGCGGTCTTTGGCACTTCCACCAAGGCTGAGTTGCTGGCATTGCTGCGGTGCGCGTTTGCTTTTCGTGATGCAACTTGTTTCTCTTTTGCGGAAAATACCAACTCGCCCGCAACTGCAAACTCTAAGAGGCTTGCCCATCTGTTTGGTATTGTAGCCACTCTCCGTACTGTTACGGGCAACTGCCAGCCCGCGTTAAAATTGATGCGGTCCAGTAAGCTCTCGTGCTTTCATGAAACACGTTCTTTTTCAATATGTTCAGGTTGCATTCCAGTACATGCCAATGCGATTCGTCAAGGACGGCTCGGTGTTGAAATTGGGATGACGGCTTGAATTGGATCTGTTTGCCACGGAACACTTGTTGGCCACGTACAAAGATTTGCCAGAAAGCTGGCAAAGGTCATGACCTTTACTTCCCCCGTCGACGCAAGCAAGCAAGCAAGCATTCATCGGTCGGGCCTCAAAGGCGTCAGCAGAGTGGACCAGCCGGACCTGAAGATGTCAGAAGCCCCCCCTTTGGGTCCCATCACCGGGATCTGCAAATGAATGTTTTTTTCTTTGCGGCGCCCCCACAATGGAGTGGTTTTCCTTTGGGTTTTCCTGCAAAAAAAAACAAAGGATGTGGGTTTTCCTTTGTTGTACTCGTTGGCCTCCGCCTCGGTATCCAAGATGGCCTTCTGCTCCTTAGCCATTTTGTGTGATTTGACACTTCGGCGAACCGAAATGGGGCCACCAGGATGCTACCATCATTGTCCTTTGATGCCAAGCTACCCGCTTATGAGATCACGTTGTGGGTCCCTGATGGTCATTTTATGTAGATTGACACTGTTGATCTCCCCCGCCTCATCTTTCTCCCTGGGCAATTGGCGCGGCGGCAGCATCAGGTACTTCATGCCGTCCTCAAAGGCATCGAATTTCCAAGCCACCCCAAGCCACCCCAAGCCACCCCAAGCCACCCCAAGCCACCCCAAGCCACCCCAAGCCACCCCAAGCCACCCCAAGCCACCCCAAGCCACCCCAAGCCACCCTTCCGAATGCCCCTTGGCGGCCGGCTGGAGTGAAGTAGTTCATGTCCATCCGGCTGCCTGGGCCCATCCTCAGTTGCTGGGTGCACCAAACGCATTTCGCAGCGCCGTTTCTGAGGTGCTGTCTCGGACAAGGAAGCCGCATCATAGCGTTTCCTGCGCAGAACTCATGTGGGTGAGATTCAATTCCAAGTCTCGGAGCTGTTGAAGCGGGTGCGGGCATGTGTCCATTTACCAGGGCTCCCAGAATGGGTACCTATTTTTGACCCACAGCCAAGCCACCCAAGCAGTTGAAGCCAAGTCGCGCTGCAGATGTTCTCATGGCCCTGTACATCTTAAGCTCTGCATCGAATGCATAGCCAGACTCGTGCGCAGGTCCTGTTCAACTGTTCCAAGATGTTCTACAAGCAAGTCATCTACAGGTGGTCTGCACCCCTCAGTCCTTTGCTCTGCGCAAACACGGACGCCAAATAATGGTGGTAGAAGGCCACGACCCTCGGCGTCACAAATCCTCCCAGCCTAGGTGTCAAGGCGACGCACCAAGCCCTGTCCACGGCGCTCAAGGCAAATTGCCATTCTGTCTCGTACCTCATGTGCGCAGCGACCAAGTGGATGGACGAAATCCATTTCGCATCCTGTAAGAAACCCTGGATTAATCGATTCCCCTGTAAATACCAACCAACAATTGTTTCCGACGGTTTCCCAGTTGTGCCTAAGATAATTTCGCAACCATCCACAGTATCTCATGGTGCGCGACCAAAATTTCAAAGGACAAAATATTTTTGGCATCCCAAGTCTACGCTGCTTCCCAGGAATGCCGATCGCTGCCCATGTCAGGGCTGCGTTTGATGGCTATTAGAACGGCTGGTGCGCAAACGAAATAATCAGTCTTTTTTAAAGCAGAAGAGCCCCTCATGGGGGGTGGGTTTGTTGACACACAGGGATTTAGTAGATGTTTTTTTTGCGTATGCAAGCCCATGCCCATTCTGCACAATCGTCTTTCAAGCATGGCAATGCTTGAGCCAAGCTCTCCGGCCCGGTCCGGAGAAGCTCTCTTCCGAAGATGACTCGCGCGTAGCACTTGGTTTCGTCATCTGCTCCTGGCGTGGTTCGTGCGACAGCATGTTCACAACAAACACATGGGGCCTAGGGGAAGTGGCGGCATCTCCTAGGCTGACAAACTTTGCAAGACAGAGTGGCAATATGGCGGGTGTCCATTTTTTTGGGGGATCCCTGAAATGGTGGCATTGTCCTTTTGGTTTCCCTGTAAAAAACCACAAAGGGAGTCCACCAAAAGAAGACAGACCCATATATGGTACAATGCTTTCTCTCTCAAGCCAGGAGTCCGAAAGTGGACCCCACCAAAATCGCCACTGAGCTGGAATGACCGTCCTACCAGAAACGTGTCACACGCAACTTCAGTCAGCGGCGCACGGGCGCAAGGACTCTGGACTCGCGCTCTAGGAGCCCGGCTGCTGCGCCCCGACCGCGACCGCGCCCGCGCCCCCCCTGAGGCAACTCGGAAGATCCGCGCATCTGCGAAGCAAAGATTTTCGGTATCTCAGCTGAGGTTCTGCGAGTCCAGCTTGTCCGAGGCTGAAGAGAAAACCTTCAGTCGATCCAGGTCGAACCCCGGCAAATGAAATTGTCCGCGCTGAGCGAGGAACTCGCCAGAAGTGAACCTGCCTGCGGGCATGAAAGGCCTTGCGGACGGGTTGTGTAAACAGCTCACGACGGCCTTTCGGCAGATCCTAGCGCTTGCGCAAACCTGAGCAGGCCGCATTCAGGAAGGCCAGGCGAATGTCAATCTCGCTCCTGGCTTTGAAGTTATATTTCCATATTGGTCTCTCGATAATATGGCCATGGGTCAAAACCCCGGGTATCCCCCAGTGAACATCCCAATCCCCACTAAAACAGACTAAATTGGGCAGTGCACTTACCCCAAAATAGTACCATTGGTTTGACCCACAGCCATATAGATTCGGAGATCTCTTTTCGGATGGGAAACCAAAAGGAAACCTGGAGGAATTGGTCCCCAGTCTTCGGAAGTCATATCTTCTCAAGGGATCGATCCTATCGACTCTGCTCCCCCGAGATGCATCCTGGGTATGCAGAGGCCATAGTCTGGATGATGCAGTTGCCAGGCCACTGGTATGGTGGAATGCAACCTCAGAGTCTTAGCGAATGGATTGTAGCCCGACATGTGTCGTTGTGTTGAGTACTGCCACTGGACATGATGACGAGGAATAATGAGATGCCTGATAAGCAAACTGTTTTGGAAGCCGTGCACTCCGATCTTGGCGTGCGACACATGGAAAGGATTGTGCAGCCTGAGTTCACAAGCAGCTTCAACGACCGAGTGCATTGAGGGCATGTGGCCATGGGTCAAAATCCAAATCGTTCCCCAGTGAACATCCCAATCCAACCACAGCCATGTGGCTGTGGTTCAAAAATAGGTTTTAAAAAATGGCTTGCCCCGGCAAGCGGCAACATGGACAAAAAAAATCCTGCGGTCCAATTGCTGGTGGCTTCATTTTGACCACCACAACCATGCGCGTTTTTGTGCGGCGTGTGTCAAGCAGCCTCAAGGCCACAAGCGCCCGTTTCCTTCGAGGAGTTCGTCGCCGAGTGTCGAAGTGCCGCTGATCAACGCCGGCACAATCAGCAACGTCTGGACCTGGCGAGAAAAAAACCGCGAGCGAACCGTGAGTGGTCAATGGGCTGTCCGGGGCGTGGCATATCTAGGTCCCCTTGAAAAGGCGTCCAAGCAGGGGTCCATTTGAGGCAGAATCAAAGCCCAGCATTTTGACAGAATGTACAGAATTAAGAAGCCGGAGATCCGCAGCTTTTGGCAAGGGAATTGTGCCTTACGAACCTTCATCTACCCGAATCGGTTCTCAGCACGTGGCTCATTTGTTCCCCAACAGGTTCTCATGCCGGGCCTTGCCTCCGAAGAATTTCTCGGATGCAGTGACCTGCCACGTCAAAATCTGCCACCATCGCGGCACATGATGCGCGTGCCGTTTTGAGGGTTCCCCTTTTCTGGTTGTTCCAAGAGGAAAACCCACCCTTTTGCGGGTCCCGAAATATATATATATATATATACACATAAGAGACGCCCCCAAATCCAAAATCACTTCGATTCTCCGTGCGTCTCCTTGAAAATCCAAAAGCTTTGGCCTGCTGGCTGGATGCCTCCTCTCCACGGCGTTAAACCTGGAGAGAAGTGCCGGACGCGGCGCTCACGAACAGATTCAACAAAGTGGCATCAAGAATCAATCAAACATGTGTTCTTGTCAAAAAAGCAAATCAGGACATGGCATCAAGAAACCATCGATGTCAATTGAAAAAGAACAAACAACACAGGACGTGATCAACATGTGAGAATCATCAATAATTCTGCAATCAAGAATGAAGACACCAAAGCTGGTTTGTAAGAACGAAGACACCAAAGCTGTGGCCCCAAGAATTCGGGCTGATCGACTAGGGCAAGGATTCCGACAGATCGATGAGGCCATCCAGCTCCTAGCCGCGGCTTCGCGATCGTTTTATCGAGCTCCAGGCTCGAAGTTGCCAAACTCGCCGCCTTGGCCAACCCGGACTGCACCCCGAAACGTCCGGCCGGCCGGCGGCCGCTGGAATGTGAAGTCCACTCCGAGCCCGACACAACCAAGCAGCTTTCGAGGAAGCTTGGCCTGACGGAAGTTGGGCTTCAAACCGCATACATCCAGACTGGCAACTGTGGCGTGCTCGGCAAACTTATTTCGCTCACGCCGTTTCCGAAAGCAAAGCCCACCAAGCCGTGTTTCTCTGCGTGTGGCGAACACGATGGCATTGGGCTCAAGCGAAATGCAAAATGATCCATGGCACAAGGCTTTGGTCAATGCCGAGCCTTCGACTTGCCGAAGAGTATGATCTTCCTGTCCTCCGGAGCCGGTGACTCATGCTGATCGCGTTCAAGCCAACAGCTAACTGTGGCTGAACGAAATCCATTTCGCACCACCTAAGAAACCCTGGAATGGTGATTCCCCTGTAAATGCCAACAAGCAGTGGCTTTTCATGGGTGCAGGATTTTGTCCGCCCACAGAAGGTCTCTCATGGCTCCTCAATGCATGCGTTTTCCAGCATCCAAACGCATCCACTGGGCGACAACTGCCTTGCTCTGGATGCCGCCGGCGTTTGGACCTGTCACTGCAAGGCATTCGGACGCTTTTGCATCTCTCTGCTGCGCACCTCAGTGACTGCCTCGAGCCCACAAGGTTCATCCGCCTTAGGGAAAATTGTGGACAGCACAAGAGGCATGGCGTGTTCATCAACTTGCTGGTGCTCAGTAGGGAATGTGGAAATGAACCCAGGGGATGGGGTTTTCTCGATGGGGTTTTCTCTGGTCATTCCAACTCATTCCCTGCCTATCGCACATGTTCATCAAACTGGTCTTTGTGGTGCTCCTTACCTCACCCTTCGAGTGAGGCGACTTCACAGCTTGACCAAGGCAAACAGCCTACGTGCAATTCTTGTTGGCTGTACAGATGTCAAAAGTGCATGAGATATTATGGGGACATGCCCCCGTCACTCCCATGCAAATGTAAACAAGTAAAGCAGCTTTCATGGCACTCTTGCAGATCTGCAGCCACATCTTCATGGCAACAGCTGACCAGTATACAACTGGCACACACCTTGGACAATTGTGCAGTGTATTTCAAGAAGTGGACCTTCATCAGGAACCACACCATGGACGTCTCCCATTGATCTTTGATCCTGTGCCAAGAGTATTGTCAGGGAGAGTGCTTGCAGCAGCATTCTTTGAACAATGTTGTGCAAAGTAATTCGAGAAGTGGATCTTTATCAGGAATTATATCATGGATGTCTCCCATTGATGTTTGATCCTGCAGCAGCATTCTTTGAAGCCTTTCATTGTGCAGTCAATGGAAACTTCATCTACACTTAGAGAAGAACAGTCAGCGAGTGTCAACCAAATCTGAAGTTGTTTGGGCTCAAGTTCCCAAGTTCGTCGATCTGTGCACCGGGTCTGCGTCCCCTTGAACTGTTTTGCTTGACTTGATGCATCGAACCCGCGCTCTAGGTACTGCAAGGTGGGGTCCACCTCTTGAAATGCACTGCACCATTTGCTAAGTTGTGTGCCATTTGCATACTGGTCAGGGTCAAAATCCAAATCGCACAGTACCCCCAGTGAACATCCCAATCCAACCACTAAAATAGGTCCAAAAATGGGTGCCGCACCTACCCCAAAATGGAGCCATAGGTTATGCCCCATGGCCATGTCGACGACTCCTGCGCCAACCTCGTTGGCCATGTTTTTCCGCTCCCACAGGTCCCGAGCTTCGCCGCTTCCTTGCGGCGCGCCAGCGCTGCGACTCGGCCTGGTGGCATCGTTGTGCGTGCGTGCGGTGTGTGAATGGGATGCGAATCTGATGCAGATGATCCTTGTGGCGCAAAAAAGTCAGAATGTTGTCCCCGTTCCCTCTCCCATTCTGTTCAACAAAAATCCATCTGTCTAGAAAATGACCCAACTGGGGGAAAGTGCTGGTTTGTGAACAGCAGGATGGGTGAAAAGAATGGGTATTCAACCCATAGAATAATATCTAGTCGTGGCATCCGACAACTCCAAGCGCCCTGCGGAACTGCAAAGAACACATTGGAGTTCGGATGG